GTATATATATATATATATATATATATATATATATATATATCTGTCATCTGTCAGTATCCAGATATTAGTGTATATGTTACCGGCAAAGTATGAAATGCCGGCATTGTACAGAATGAGTCGTCATTGTATAGAATGCCTAGGCATTCTATACTATTTAGGCAAACTATGAAACAAACGTCTTGAGGAAGTTTTCATGTAAATGATGTGCATGTTACTGTGAATGAGCGAAATCGGTGATTGTTGACTTTCACCGGTTAATGTTGTCGCTTTGGTAAATGTCCGAAAGATTTATTACATCAGATTTCATATTAATTTATTTGTGGATATAATTACATTTATTCGAAATTTTAATACTTACTGACGATAGATTAGAAGAAACATCAGTGTTCGGAGTATCGGTCTAATGCATACCGGGCAGTGGCACTTGACCTTAAAAAAACATCAGTGTAGGGTAAACCGGGCAAATGTATACCGGGCAATGGCACTGAACCTTAAAAAACATCAGTGAAGGGTATACCGGGCAAATTTTTACCGGACAATGGCACTGAACCTTAAAAAAACATCAGTGTAGGGTAGACCGGGCAAATGTATACCGGGCAATGGCACTTAACTAGACCTAGTATGACTAGGCCTTTGGTAAATGTCCGAAATATATACTAGGTCTAGTTATGTGCCACTGCCCGGTATAACCTACACTGATGTTTTTTAAAGGTTTAGTGCAATTGCCCGGCATACATTTGCCCGGTTTACCCTACACTGAGGTTTTTTTAAGGTTCAGTGCCACTGCCCGGTATACCCTACACTGATGTTTTTTAAGGTCAAGGTCCATTGCCCGGTATACATTTGCCCGGTATACCCTACACTGATATTTTTTTAAGGTCAAGTGCCATTGCCCGGTATATATTTGCCCGATACTCCAAACACTGATGTTTTTTCTAATCTATCGTCAGTAAGTATTAAAATATCGAATAAATGTAATCTATCGTCAGTAATTTTTAAAATAACGAATAAATGTGATTATATTCATGAATAAATTAATATCAAATCGGATGACGTTTTGAATTTGTCATTTTTGAATGACATTTTGATGAATCGGAGATGTATTTTATACTTTGCCGGTTTCTCATTTGGCATTCTATAGAATGCCTAGGCAATGTGTGAAATATAAATCATTTCATACTTTGCCGTCTAATTTTAGGCATTCTACACAATGCCTAGTCATTCTATACAATGCCGGATTTCATACTTTGCCGGTGACATATATATACAATGTAGTATAAGCATATTAATATCTTATGGATATAGATAACAATTTTATCAGATAAACCAGTATATATGAACATATATGAAACTAGCAAGGTTCTTTTTCTTCATATTATTCTTTTAATAGCATGTTTGGGAATACAATATCAATGTCAAATGGCATTCAGTTATGGACTTTACATATTTCCCATGTTTTGAATCACATTTAATTCCTCCCATGTTTTGAATCACATTAAATATATATATAATCATATTATCCTTTTATTAATTAATATAGATAACTTTTTATGTAAGCGCAGGAGAGCCGAAATCGAATTTTAAAAATGTATATTCTTTATTAAACTGCTAACACAAAAGTTTAAAGCTTCAAAACTTTATGTCGTTAAATGTTTGCAACGAATTTGCAGGGTTGTAAGTTTTTCTGACGTATCATTTTTATGACTGACAGACCATTTTTTTTGTAATGCAGTCACTTGGTTTTCGATAACTTGCGAATAACGAATCTCCATGTATTGCATGGCGACTTTTTTTTCACGCACATTTATGTGTTGATGTATGGTAGATAAGGTATTTCTTTTCCTTTCAGTTTCCCATTAAAATAAAAATAAAAACAAATTTAAGTATCTTTTTTTGCCATTGGTTATTAGCATATTTTAGCAACTGAAAATATTTAATTTGGAGAACCCGATGCATGAAATCAAAACCAACACAATTAATATGCAAATTGGAATTCCAATTTTTTTTTTCAAAAATTAAATCCATTGTAAAAATAGGGCCATTTCAAATAAAATTCATTTGTAAAAAAAATGTTTTATTGGAAAATTAATCTATATACAGAATTGTTTATTAAAAATACTTTCTTTAAATTTAGAATCAGATATAGGTAAGCTCTTTAACTTCTTTTAAACATAAGAAATTTAAAGGGAAATCGTAGAGTTTCACAATAAAATAATATATATATATATATGTATATATATATATATATAATT